TGGTGTTTGAGGAAGAGTTCGCTAGGTTCAAGGTAAGCTTCAAAAGCTTTACTTTGCAAAATCTTATAGATTGGTCGCTCATCGGCTCGTTCTTCTATGAAGTCCATATTGTAAAATTACGAATAATGAAGTAAAAGTTGACGAATCATTTTCTAACTGAACTTTCTACCTTCTGGTTCCCATTTAGTCTACTGCTTCTTTCCTCACTCTAGCCAAAAACGTTAATGAAAAGTCTGATGTAGGCGTCATTATCTTAGTCTTCATTTCAGGGTCACTTCGGACCTATAAATACAATGGCATGGCATCCGGCGGGCAACATTATTGCAACCGGTGGTGAGGATGGTTACGTGCGTGTGCAGGAATTTGATGACGACTATCTTGAGTTTAAATATGATTATTAAGGGTTGAGAATATTCATTTCTGTCACTCTCGATGTGTCTCTTTCGTTTTTCCTTGTGATTTCCTTCTGCTTGCATCTAATGAAGGGCATGCAATCGATGAAATATTATTAATGTGCATCGTCGATTTCGGTCTTTTCTCGGTCTACGGGAGGCTTTTGGTTTACGAAATCTGCTGACAAGATGTTGTATGTTGCTTGATTCGGTGAGTGAGAACGCGCTATAAGGATTTTACATGACTATCCTTTCCTGTGAACGTGGATTCTTCAGCATATTCACAGTCAGAGTTGTTGATATAAATTGTTTCGCTGTTGATCATTCTTAAGTTTGGGTGTTAGCCACGTTATGTCGGTAAAAATCTTTACTTTGCAATTACCATGTTCATCATGTCGTTTTCAAAGCTTCTGAAGCCCATCGTACTTCTAATTGGCTCAAAAAATGACTCAGTTAACGCAAGTAACTTTTTCAAGGGCGGCTATGTGTGTAGTCAACCATGTCAGAATTTATTACAAATAATATTTAGTTGAATACACTGCTATAAGAATACTTGATATTAGGATCGAGTTGAGGATTAGGAGTTTCGGATATTTGAAGATGCTAGATTTCTTGTCCAGCATTAGCCGTGTAGTTCCTGTTAATGCCACTCCTATTGCTACCTGTAAACTATCAATAATTATCATATTATTAGTGTAGAATTACCAATAATTTTCAGAGATATGAAATGTGCTGGAAATGCATATATGGTTATGTATCTTAGTCAGGAGGGAAATTGTGCTTGGGATTTGATGATACCGAGTGCGATCAGATGGACTGTGGCGTTCTGTTGAATATGTTGAGTACCGACTATTCCGCTTTTACTTTAGTGAAATAATCCTAGGAAGTCGGTAAGGTCTATTCAATGATTAACGACGTTGGGCTTAGGCAAAAATCATGTTTTGATTTATCCTGACGGATCTACTACTAATTAAAAAGTCCCCATGAAGTTGGAAGGTTCGATTGATCTAACCGGAATGGATTTTATCCAAGATTAGATTCAGAGGCTATGCTTGTGGTAAGGGCTGTGAATTCCAATTGTAGTCGTGAATGAAAGTTAAACCTACTGGTAACAAGTTCTTGGCCTCATGTAGTTCTAATCCATCGGCATTTTCGAGACCGTGAAATGTCCATGCAAGGAACAACATC